AAACCTTATTTTTTTTTTTAAAAAAAAAAACTTATTTTTGGTTTGGGGTTATAGTAATCTATTAGTTTATCTAGTTCTTAATCATTAATACATTCATTCATTCATGTGTACAGCAATTTATTTTTTCATTCAGAAAACACTGAGTTCTTCCCACATAATTAATTCTACACTTTCTGGACAAGTCACAGCAATCTTAGTTGACTCTTGAAAGGTAAGTGTGCTCACCAAAGACTGAAGCATTGGCACAGATACCACCTGTTCAGAGCAGAAGACATATTCCAATGTATGGTGGCACGTGTACATAGGGAGTATGGACGTGGCAGTGTTGGCAGATAATACACCTGGAGCCTGGATTTTAGCCTGCGAACAAACTGGAGTGGCATGATCTAATGGGTTAGGTCTGGGATAATGTTAAGTATATGATGGAGAAAGAGAGGCGGAATGGTTTGTGTGCTGTGGTAAGAGGTGGTTCTGAAGAAGCGAGGGTGATGAGGAATGGGCTGATGTTGGCAGCTTGCTCGCTACCTGGGACCAGGGTGGAGTCTGGGTTGCTGCCATGGCTATGACTAGGTATGTGGCCCAGCAGCAGCCAGGGTCTGGGTTGATATCCATGGCTCCTGTTGCCACCAGGGGCTGAGTAGATGTCCAGGGTCTAGACAGCCACCTGAGACCATGTCCCATGTTGGTGACTAAGGGCATTGCTGCTGTTGGGGCCATACAGATCTGGGTGGCCTGTGCTGCCACTGGGGCCATGGTGATGTCCTGGCCCAGGCTGCTGCTGAGGGCATGTCTGAGTCCATGTTCCTGCTACAGCTGGGCTCTATGATGATGTCCATGGCCTATGTTACCACAGTGGGTAATAGGAACCATTCCTGTTGAAATCCTAGGGTCATGCTGAGCTGACCCTGCCCCTCACTATCCCTGAGATAGCTGGCCCTCTCCCTCAATGGGCACTGCATCAGGAGATCTGGTCCCACACCCCATGGGAGAGATGGGCACTGCACTCAGGAGAGATGGTCCCACTCCTTACCACTGGTATGGGAGAGCTGGCCCTGATGGCATGGGCTTAGGAGAGCTGGCTCTGCCCCTTGGCTGAGGGGTGCAGTCCCAATGGCCTGGACTAACCTTCTCAGTTACTACACAGACCCACATCCTGGGCCTTTGGTTGGTCCACTCTAACGTCTACTGCATCTACAACCTGCTGGGGTCTGTAAAGTGACTGGTCCTTCGGAACAATAACCATAGAATCTTCATGACCCAGGACAATAGCAGGATATCTGGAGTTTCATTGATGGTCCAGTGATGATGGCGTGTTAAAGGACTTGAACCAGACCAGGGACTCATAGCAATGAACATTTTGTGGGTGAGGCTGATTGGACAAAAGGGTATTCTGCTTGACACAGTGCAGCTCCCAATGCCACTAGGATGAATGAAGAGGTGTTGGAGAGATGAGAAAGACAGAGAATCGAGGTGGGTTTTTTTTTGTTTGCTTTGTGTTTAATTAATTTTGGGGGTGGTGTTTCTTTTGGGGGCATTGCAGGGTGAGGGATAGATATGAAGGGACTAGGAAGTCAGTGGGATTGGGGTGCATGATGTGAAATTTCCAAAGAATCAATAAAGAATTATGTTAAAAAAACAAATAATCTAATTTTAAAGTGGGGTACAGATCTAAACAGAAAATTCTCAAGAGAAGAATCTCGAATGGCTGAGAAACATTAAAAAAAAATGTTCAACATCTTTAGCCATCAGGGAAATGCAAATCAAAATGACACTCAGATTCTATCTTACACCTGTCAGAATGGCTAAGATCAAAAACACAAGTGAAAACTTATGCTGGAGAGGATGCGGAGCAAGGGGAACACTCCTCCATTGCTGGTGGGAGTGCAAACTTGAACAGCCACTTTGCAAATCAACATGGCAGTTTCTCAGAAAATTCGGAATATATCTTACTCAAGACTTAGCTATAACCACTCTTGGACATAGACTCAAAGGATGCTCAATCATGCCACAAGGACACTTGCTCAACTATGTTCACAGCAGCTTTATTTGTAATGGCCAGAAACTAGAAACAACCTAGATGTCT